AACGATCTGAACGATACCCAAAAGAGACTCGAAAGTATAGAGAACGATCTCCAGGCTACTGGATTCAGAGAGACTGAGGTGCTGGAAAAGCTGAAATCTGCGGAGGAGAAACTCGAACACCAATTACGATCAATAGAGGAAACTACTGCAAGAAACACGGAACTTCAGTCGTTACATGACTCATTAGCCAAGGATTCAGAAACTAAAATGCTGGAAGCAGTAGCAAAGTTCACCAACAAAGAATCTGAGGCTAACTCTCTAGTGGAGAAAATTAATGTTCTTGAAGAACAAATAAAAGCTTATGAGGATCAGATATCTGAAACCAATGAAAGATCTGCAGCTTTAAAAGAAGGATTGGAACAGACTTTGACAAAATTGAGTTCTTTGGAGAGTACAAATGGTGAACTCAAAAAGTATAGTTTGGAAGTTGAAAATAAAGTTTCTCAGATTTCTTCCGAGAACGAACTCTTAGTCGATACAAACATTCAACTCAAAACAAAGCTTAATGAACTTCAGGAGTTATTGAGCTCTGCACTTTCTGAAAAGGAAACTTCTTATCAACAGCTCGCTTCTCATAAGAGCTCTATTGCTGAATTAACCGAAAAGCACTCGAGAGCCATCGAGTTCCAGTCCGTAACCGAAGCTCGTCAAGTCGAGACAGATCAGAAATTGCAGGAAGCCATTCAAAAGTTCGATCAGAGAAATTTGGAGGCTGAGGAATTGAGTGGGAAACTAAAAATAGCAGAGAACGAGATAAAATTGTTTGAATCCAAGGCTTTGGAAGCTTCTGCAGAAGCTGAAGCTCACAAGATTCAGCTAGAAGAGAGTCTTTTGAAAGTAAAACAACTAGAAAGCATGGTAGAAGAGCTGCAAACCAAGAGAGTTGATGCTGAACAGGAGAGTGCAGGGCTAAATGAGGCTAAATTGAAGCTTACTCAAGAACTGGCCTTAATCGAATCAAATTTGAGTGATCTCCAAAACAAGTTATCTGCCGCAAATGCCGAAAGGGATGAAACTACTGAACGACTCCAGGCTGCAGAGAAGACTGTAAATGAGTTGAAATCACAGCTCTCTTCTGAAGAACAGAGGCTGCAGTCTCAGGTTTGCAAAAAACTCTACCTTTCAACTAATTGGTGCGATTAAAATGCTATTATCCGACAGTTTAATGAATTCTTTTTCATGTTCATAGATCGCTTCAATTATGGAAGACAACGACGTCCTCAATGAAACATACCAGAAGACCAAAAACGAATTTCAGTCAGAGATATTAAAGCTGGAAGGAAAATTGAAAGAACAGAGCAAAGTAGAAGAATCATTAAGATCTGAAATTGAAAATCTCAAGGCAGAGACCGCAGAGAATAATGGTTTAAAAATACGCCAAAAGGAGCTTGAAGATGAGGTACATCAAAGTGAAGATTCCATCAATTTTCCCATTTGATAAAGATTTTGTTCTGAAACTTTAATGATTGTTTATTAGGTTCAAAGTGTCCGATCAGCCGCTGCAGGAAAAGAGACAGAATTGATTTCCAAATTGGAAGATTATGGACTAAAAATTCAAGATAGAGATCAACTAAATGAACAAGTTGTACAACTAAAGGCGGAGATTGCTGAACAGGTTAGTCACCATGCCATCTCTTTTTACTCTGAAAATGAAGTCTATAAAATCATGGTGTTACAATCAAGTGTTGTCTTCAACAGAAAGAGAAAGATTCTCAAAAAGAAATCGAACGAGAGGGTTCGGTTAAGCAGTCTCTTGAAGATTTGGAGGCGAAGGGCAAAGAAATTACTGCTCTAGAAACACAAATCAAGGACCTCCAGCAGAAATTGCTCCTGGCTGAAGCTAAGCCCGTAGAGAAGGTTTGTGTAAACTAATGAATTATGGGTCTCGACATAAAGAATGCAGCCATTCATGCTTATTAGTTGAACTATCTCATCTTGCAGGCTGATGGAGGCAGCAGCATGGCGGAGCCGAAGGAGGGAGTAGAAATCAAATCCCGAGACATTGGATTAACCTTTTCAACTCCAACAAAAAGGAAGCACAGGAAGAACAAAGAGGCATCATCGCCATCTACACCATCTTCATCTTCTGCCGAAACACACGCCCAAATTGCTGAGGTTTCTCCAATCTCTTCCTTGAAGTTGGTTTTGGTGGTAGCTCTGATCTCTGTTATAGTTGGTATATATCTGGGGAAAAGGTATTAAATATTCGTGGTTTTCGATTTTTTTTCTTCAATCTTTTTCTTTGAAGCCTTTAAAGTTGGTTTTTTTATTTTTATTTTTATTTTCAAATTTCTTTTGAGATTTAAGGGTTTTCTAGTCGGTTTGGGAATTCGATTTTATTTTCCATCCCCAGCCAGAATGTGAAAGCAAATACCATTGATGATACCTTTAGTTTTGGAAGTGTGTATTTAAGTTGTATCGATCAAAAGTTGGAGATGTATGTATTTTCTTTGTAATGCGCGTATTTCACAAGTCATTCTTAGTGGAACCGCTTGGTTTTTATGCTCTCTCTTTTAGATAACCCATATTTAATCAAGTTTGAGTTTAAGCAACTCAACTAGGCTTCTTAATCATGAGGCGTCAAACTCTTCATGAATGTTAAGGACGTTTAATTTTTAACTAAAAAGTATTTTATAAAAGCTTGATAAATTGTAAGTTTAAATCTATTCAAATTTGTGTTAATGATTTGACAACTTTAAAAAAGTCAAAATCTTTTTTGCGAGCCTCCCCTTAAGGGATGATTTTGATACCATGTTAGACTGACTTTCCACGTTAGTATGATATTGTCTACTTAAATAAACTTTCAGAGCTTTGCTTTGGGCTTCCCTAAAAGGCTTCAAATTTGAAATTAGTATTTGGGGTTTGCTTTGGACTTCCCTAAAAGGTTTCAAATCTGAAATTAGTATTTGGGCTTTCCCAAAAGGCCTCCTAAAAAACCTCAAATTTGGAGTTAGTATTTGGGCTTTCCCAAAAGGCCTCAAGTATTCCTCGCGTATTTCCCGCCTCAAGTATTCCTCACTTGTAAACTAGATGCTTTCATCATCCAATCTTGTCCAAATGAATATTAAAAATTTACTCACTTGTGAAATAAAAATTAAAATAAATTCTCTCTCCTCTCCCCACCTTTCCCCATGCATTATATGACATCCTTTAAGAAATAATAATAATAATAATATATATATATAATATTTTTTTTTGGGTATTAGCTTGTAAACGTGGAACTTGTTTCCCATCTCTATAATTTTGCACAATTTTTTAACAAATAAAACAATAATTCTCTACTTGTACAATTGTGGACAATCTTTAGCCAAGTAAATATAAGGATAATTTAATAAAAATACTTCTAAACTATGTAGTTCCTCTTAAAATTATTCTTAAAACTTTCAAAAAATACACATACAGTTAATTTTGGTTCAAAAAATATCCTAAAAACAACTCAACTAAATTGCCTCACTGGTTATATTCAGTTTAAAAAATATAGCATCAATGATGCAAGCCAAGGCAAATGATACACAACCAAAATAGCAAAGGAACATTAGCAACCAATCTGTAATGGACAAACAGAAAATTAAGCAGAAGATGAGCGCAGACAACCATTTGGAGTGGAAAGAGCAAAATGCACATCAAATATCCTAATACATAAGTTGAAATCATCATATACATGGTTGCAATCAAATTATAACCCAATTTGCTAGTGAACTATAAGGGGGAGGGGCAACCAATTAGATACTCAATGATATGAAGGGAAGATCAAACGGCCATCTGTGTTGCCCATCTCAAGGTCTTAATAAATCTTAACAATGAGCATTGAATATGAACAAGTGCTCAAGGAGAGATAGGTGGGATATATCTAATAACAACACAACCAATATCTGTACATCTAAACATGTTCAAGATCAAAAGTAATAAACTATACCATACTTTCAATTGATAGTCAAGAATACAAAGGAAGGAAAGACGGTTTAGTTTTCACCACTCGGAACCGAGATCACTTTTCAACAATTCATGATTCATTCGTATCAAATGAGATAGAGTTAGAATTCAACTTCCAAGTTCCCAACAATCCAAAGTTGCTTCAACAAAACAATATTAAAAGTATAATTTCCAAGTTCCATCCAGCAAAGAAGAGCAGATACAAGCATCACGAAACAAAGCTCAACTATAATTAAACAGATATGCCAGCAAGTAGGCATCACGAAACAAAGCTCTCAACTCGAATTAAACAGATAGGCCAGCAAGTAAGCATCACGAAACGAAGTTCAACTATAATTAAACAGATAGGCCAGCAAGTAAGCATCACATAACAAAGCTCAACTATAATTAAACAGATAGGCCAGCAAGTACGCATCACGAAACGAAGCTCACTATAATTAAACAGATAGGCCAGCAAGTAAGCATATCACGAAATGAAGCTCAACTATAATTAAACAGATAGGCCAGCAAGTAAGCATCACGAAACAGCCTATCTCATCGCAAAAAGAGTGACCACCGAAATCATATACATAGAAAAGCAATCAAAACAAGTTGATTCAACCAGTTTGACCAATAATCATCGGCTGTTAAAATAGTTTTATACAAGGGATCAGGAAGATTACCAAAGAGGTGCATTCTTAAGCATTGGTTTTTGGTTATGCTTAAATCAATAATCTCATAAACAACCTAATATACCCCTAAAAATGTTCTTGAAATACAATACAATGTTCATTGAAGAACTTATGTGTAAATGTTACCATCATCGAACATCCTAAAATAGGCATACGAATATGCGCAGCTATGCAAGGGCTTCAGCCATTAATTATAAGTTCAACAGATGGAAATGTAATTTCTAGATCTTCTCAATCTGACTAAGAACACTAATTGTTTACACGGAAGTTCTACGGTTTATCTCCAGATATTTTATGTTAGACTTATCTATTGGTTACAAAAATGAATGCTTAGAGTGAATCAATATCTACTTCTAAAGAAGATTAAAAGCTTAGAAAGGAAAGAATATACTCAGATAAGCAGGTGCAAGTCTAAAATGTAGCATTATAACCAAGAAAATTTGTCGTCGAAGCGATCAGAGTACATCGACAGAAAAAGTAGACACTAAAACAAGCTAACAATGTAATGTAGAACGTAAGATGATCCGAAAACAGAAGGGAAAAAACAATAATAAAGCTGATCAGTAACCTAATACGAGAATTATCCAGAACAAACACATAACTGAACAGGCTTCAGAACCTGAGCTTGGTGAAAAACCACCTATTCTTTCCGGTCTTAAACCTCTCCTCGAACCTCTTCTTGGTCTCCTTAGCGGCGGTGACCTTCTTGTCCTTGGATTGCAATGAATCTATAGTGACGACGTCTTTAAGATCGACATCAAGAGTGTACCTGGTGGGCATAAGGTGCCTGTAATTGACGAGCTTGATGAAGGCCTTGACTCGGGATTTCTTAGCGGTCTTCTTGGAGGAGTCCTTGCGGATGACCTTGGCAGGATACTTTTTTATTCCGGCAACCAAGCAGTGCCCATAAGCCCGATCCCGCGTTCCATCGTCGAACGCGCGAATGATGACCGCTTTCCGGCCAGCATAACGACCTTGAAGGACGATCACAGCTTTGTTCTGCTTGAGGAACTTCACCATTGTCGATTTCTCCTCCTCTCTGTGTTGTGCTTCCCCTTCTCCTTACTCCCTTCTCGTCGGCTCCAACTGACGAAGAATGGATTTATGTTTCCCCAAAAATGTAGTTTTTAGGGTTTTCTAGTGCAATTGGGCTCCTTGTGTCTAATTGGGCCCTTCTGAAATGGGCTTTTGTACTGAACTGGGCCCTGTGAAATGGGGGTTTTTCTAGTGCAATTGGGCTCCTTGTGTCTAATTGGGCCCTTCTGAAATGGGCTTTTGTACTGAACTGGGCCCTGTGAAATGGGGGTTTTTCTAGTGCAATTGGGCTCCTTGTGCCTAATTGGGCCCTTCTGAAATGGGCTTTGTACTAAACCTTTTTTTTTTTTTTAATTCATTCATCAATTTTTGTACATTAATGAATACATAAATATTTTTTTATTTTAATTGGAAATATTTCACTTTTTATCCTAAATTCGCCTATTCCATTTCTTCGATTTAAATCTTAAACTTGACGTTAAGTTTCAATTTCAGTCCCTATTGATAAAGTCTCCACACTTGTTTAGAGACTCGTGTTGGTATGTACTTATTTGTTATTTTTTAAGAAAATGATTGTAGAGTTCTTATCTTCTATGATTACAAGTTTAGAGCAAAATTCTATTCGATCTACCTTTTTTTTTTTGTGTAAGAAATGAAGTTTTGTAGTATCATAGTTTTCCTCGAAAGAGTACTATTATCGAATCTTTGTCCTCTTCCCTTCTAGCATTGGTGTCGTCTTCATTTTTCGCAAGCCCATCAACAAGATTGGCAATGAAGGTTACAACTAGTTCAATGTGTTCAAGTGCACCACCCTATCCATCACATTGTATTTTTTATTATTATAGATCGTATTATAGTCAAGCTCAAACTTCTCACACAATCGACATTAGCAAAACTATCATGGTTGATCACCACTAACCACCTCGATGCTCCTCCCACTTTTCGTACTTAGTAACAACAGAAGGTGAGGGTCGACAGGAGAATCAATTTTTTCATGTGGATCCTACTTTCGAGAGGTAGGTTCATGGTGCTCATCAATCCAAAACAATTTAATGGTCACTTATAAGTACCTACCATAAGCAACGTTTGCATTTTTTCATGTGGAAGAAACAATGCACCCCATAGACATATTTCTAATTCCGGGGTCTCCAAACACAACATCCCATACAAGTTTCTGATTTCTATACCCTCCCAACCCAAATCCCAAAACATAGGTAAAGAACATCGTTTATAAAACCAAATTTATATTGAAGTTCTTCGTAAAAATCAAAGAAAATGGCTTCTAAAACAACCACCAAAACGGCCAAGAAAACAAGTAATTGAAATATCAGAACAGTCCCATCGGATAATTCCATGAACAAAAAAGTGGAAATTCAGCAAGCAGCTCAACAAAAAGAATAAGATCATTGCATTGTTGCTATCAGCTTGTCTACATTGTTATAGATCTATTATCTGACAGATCATTGGGAGGAAACTTTCAAGTAATTCATTGCACAATCGTGCATGGCTTATTTCCTACTAGTTACCGATCCTAGTATCTACTTTAGCAGAAATCCATGGCAATAACGAACAAAATACAGAAAACCAACTGAAAATCATGACAATGCAGACGAACTGATAGAAATGGAATAGAAACTCGAGATTAAGAGAGACAGCAGAATTACCAAAGTAGCTAGACACTTGAACTAAATTAATTTGCCATGTAAGAATAACTGATTCAACAGTAGCTTTACAAACGCTGAAAATTTCTCATCCAAACGATTAGAGTACGTTCATTGAAAAAGGTAGATCCAAATAAACTACTCTGTTTATAAAAACAAAACGAAGTACGAGTACTTGAGAATCCAGAATAAATCCACAACATAACAAAACCAGATAAATCTCTTCAGAACCTGAGTTTAGTGAAAAACCACCTGTTCTTCCCGGTTTTGAACCTTTCCTCAAACCTCTTCTTGGTCTCCTTAGCAGCAGTGACCTTCTTGTCCTTGGATTGCAATGAATCGATAGTGACAACGTCTTTAAGATCGACATCGAGAGTATACCTGGTAGGCATCAGGTGCCTATAATTGACGAGCTTGATAAAGGCCTTGACACGGGATTTCTTAGCAGTCTTCTTGGAGGAGTCCTTTCGGATGACTTTCGCCGGATACTTTTTTATCCCGGCAACCAAGCAGTGGCCATAAGCCCTATCACGCGTTCCGTCATCGAACGCACGAATAATGACCGCCTTCCGGCCGGCGTAACGGCCTTGAAGGATGATCACGGCTTTGTTCTGCTTGAGGAACTTCACCATTGTCGATTTCTTCTCCTCTCTGTGTTTTCCTTCCCCTTCTCGTCGGCTCCAACAAGATGAAGAGTGGATTTAGGTTTCCCTTACAATAGGATTTTTAGGGTTTTCTGGTGAAATTGGGCTTCTTGTGTAGACTTGGGCCCAGTTGAAATGGGCTTATATACTGAACTGGGCCGAGTATTGTAGGAGTTTTTTTTTTTTTAATGCAATTTCTTTAAAATAATTTCGAGGATATATATATATATATATATATATATATATTTTAAAGCTCGAGCCTACCCTAATATGAATTAAAATTAATTAATTCCTTGGATGAAAGTCCCACGTTTGTTAATTTAGGGAATAATCATAGTTTATAATAAAAAAATATTCTCTTCATTGGTACGAGGCATTCTGAGAATGCTCAAAGCGAAATCATGAGAATTTATGTTCAAAGTGGACAATATTATACCATTGTCAAGAGTCGTATTCATCTTAATTTAGTATCAGAGTCATACACTAAATTTAACTATGTCCTTAATTTGGTATCAGAGTCATGCACTAAATTTAACCTATGTCAATAAAATCCAACCCTATCCTACCATGGTATAATAACGGCGGCTAAATTTGTAATTTTAATAATTAAATATAAACTTTTATGGTTTAATAACCGCGGACGTGGAAAAGACACGTGCTATTGCGGTTGGATAATTACTAGCTAGTCCTTGGAGCCAAGCAAATTACAAAATAATTCGATTATTTTTAAATTGTTCGGAACCCTACGCTTCCACCGTCTCCTCCGCCGTCGTTCTGATCCATCGTCGTCGCCGGTGCGTTCCCGTTCTACCATTTCTCAATCAGCATCGTACCTTCTTTGATCCTTTTCCGTCCATTTCTCGTGTTTTCCGACTTCGGTTCTTTTTTATTTTTTCCGTCGATGTTCTGGTATGTTGGCTATAAACAATTGATAGTTTTTGTATTCACTGTAGAAGAATTTCAGAGCGTGTCTCGAAATGCTCTGTGAGTCATAGAAAATTGTTGTGCGCCCCAATACGATTCTAGACTATGCTGCGTGCTGTTTTTTTGAAGTTTTGATGTTTCACTGAAGTTATTGTCGTTCTGTAATGGCGTTTGGCTGGATACTGAAGTTCGTTTTGTTATATGAAATTTGTAGGAATTTTGTGAAGATTTGAGTGGACAGAATGCAGGCTGCGGGTGGTGCTGCAATGATGGGCTCTTTGCAAATTGTTGTTTGTGCGAAGGGATCGTGTTTTCCTTCAAAAGGTTATGGCATCCGTGTGTTTCCGCAAAACAGGAGAATGAACATCTCGAAACTCCGTAAATCCTCTAATGTTGAAGCAAGCATGGTTGCGGGGAAGCAATCATCTTCCTTCTCTGTCACCGTTCCAGATATTGAAGGTGAAACATTATCTATTGCCATTCACCAATTTTATGATTTGTTTGAAAAGAATGGCATATCTGTTTGATCTATGTAAAACTATGCTAGATTTCCTTTGTTTCTCAATCACAAACGAATTTGAGTTTGATTGAGTGGGAGAAATTAGCATAGGTTGACTTCATTGCTTGAATTCAGGCGTAAGTGACTTTGTAGACCATGGTTTGAATGAAATGGATCCCGAAGTTCAAAGTATTATCAAAAAAGAAAAGGAGCGACAGTTTAAAAGCCTCGAACTTATTGCCTCAGAGAATTTTACGTCTCGGGCAGTTATGGAGGCAGTAGGGTCCTGTCTCACAAACAAATATTCAGAAGGATTACCTGGAAAGAGGTGAAATTTCTTCATTTGATGTACTATGGACGTGAATTCCAATTTTCTTTTTGGGAGGTCTTGAGATTTTTTGTTGTTGTTAAGAGGATTATGCAAATTATGAGTTTTATTATGCATCTTAGATACTACGGTGGCAATGAACATATCGACAAGCTTGAAACACTCTGTCAACAAAGGGCTCTAGCAGCATTTCGTTTGGACAATAACAAGTGGGGTGTAAATGTTCAACCATTATCTGGTTCACCTGCTAACTTCGAGGTTTATACTGCAATTCTTAATCCACATGATCGGATCATGGTGAGTAGTCTCTTGATTAGCTTTTTTAATAACCGTGTTAATTTAGACGATTGCTGATGCTACTGATTCATGTTAAATGGCTTTAGGGTTTAGACTTGCCTCATGGAGGCCATTTGTCTCATGGGTTTATGACACCAAAAAGGAGGGTATCAGGCACATCAATTTATTTTGAATCTATGCCTTATCGTCTTGATGAGACTACAGGTACCTCCCACGTGGGATTTACTGTTTTTTACGGTCTCTTTCATAGTTTATGCATTCTAATTAAATAGCAAACGCATGCAGGTATTGTAGATTATGACATGCTCGAAAAAACTGCTAACTTGTTTCGACCAAAGCTGATTATCGCTGGTGCAAGTGCTTATCCACGAGATTTTGACTATCCTCGCATGAGAAATGTGAGGATTTATCTAAATTCAACGTCGTTCATCATTTTCCATTGAGTGGCCGATTCTGTTGCATTAGTGAATAACTTAATTTGTTCTGGTAGATTGCCGATTCTGTTGGTGCTTTTCTCATGATGGATATGGCTCACATAAGTGGGCTTGTTGCTGCTTCTGTGGTCGCCGATCCTTTTGAATACTGTGATATCGTGACCACAACTACACACAAGGTAAAAGATAAATTTTGCTAATGGGGGTGCTTCCTTTTTAAGTACTGGTTTTCCTCTTAATTCATTTTATCTTTTGAAATAAGAAACGTGTACATTCAAGAACCGAAAATAAAAGAGGAACGAACAACCTATCGGCCAAGGTAGAGACGGTCCCCTGGGAGAAAGCTAATACCAAAAAATAGAGAGATTAAATTCATTTCTTACTCATTTACTTGTTTTGAAATTTTTTGTCATTCTTCATATCATTTTGCCTTATCTTAGAACACATTAGCTTCGTATATAATCTGGTATGATGATGATTGTTCTTCGCATTAAAGTAACTACTTTCTTAGCCTGAAAGAGATATCAAATTGTCTGCAGTCTCTGAGAGGTCCAAGAGGTGGCATGATCTTCTTCAGGAAGGATCCTGTTCTCGGAGTCGACTTAGAATCTGCTATTAATAATGCTGTGTTTCCAGGATTACAGGTTGGTCCAACTAGTCTTGTGGTAGCACATAAAGAAGAGTTGTTTGTTTTGCTCGATTCTTCGCCTTCGGGTCCTAAGTATTGTTGATTTTATGGCTGTCATGCAGGGTGGTCCTCATAATCATACAATTGGGGGACTTGCTGTCTGCTTGAAGCATGCACAATCTCCAGAGTTCAAGGTCTATCAGAACAAGGTACTTCAATTGCTCCATGAGCTAAACATGGTGTAAGACACTGTTTTCTTATTTTTCTAACACAGTTCTTCATATTTTAGGTCATCTCCAATTGTAGAGCTCTTGCAAGTCGACTTATTGAGTTAGGTTATAAGCTAGTCTCTGGCGGAAGTGACAATCACCTAGTTCTTGTCGATCTCAGGCCATTGGTAAATCATTGTTTATCATAATTGTGCGTTAACTAACAACTGTAATAAAGCATACGTTAATCTATAAGTAAATTCTAACAACAGGGTATCGATGGCGCACGAGTGGAGAAAATTCTCGACATGGCCTCAATCACTCTCAACAAGAACTCTGTTCCCGGTAACGACGCGTGTTTTCAAAGGCTGTTCATCATATCCTGTTTTCTTGAACTGACTGTTGGCTGTTTTATACACAGGTGACAAGAGTGCTTTAGTTCCAGGAGGCATTCGAATCGGGTCGCCTGCCATGACCACCCGAGGATTCACCGAGAAAGAGTTCATAGCAGTTGCAGACTTTATCCATGAGGGTGTTAAGATAACTCTTGATGCCAAACCACTGGCCCCAGGATCAAAGCTCCAAGAGTTCCTCAAGTTCGTGACAACCTCTGATTTCCCTTTGATCGACCGAGTTTCTGATCTTCGCTCGAGGGTTGAAGCTCTTACAACTCAATTCCCAATACCTGGCCTGTAAGTATCACTTCACAGAAGGAAATGGGTATACATTTACAATAAACAGGGGGGGAGGGGGGACATGTCGTGTTATGTCGTGTCGTGTTTGTGTTAGTTGTACTAATAGAAACTAGATAGTTTGGAACATTATATAAGACGTTGTTGCAGCTATGTACGAGGCTTAGTTAGCTACGTTCATGTTGGCAGATATTAATATTTGCCAACACGTTCAATTATTAGTTCATACGAATGCTTTGAATACAAATTTAAGGTCAATTTTTATAACGATCTAATAGATCTTGAAACTTTAGCTATTATTCGTAAAATTTGATTCGTAAATTTTAAAAACTTCTTCCCCTTAAAAAATTGTGAATAAAAATTTAAAATAGGACAGACTTTAAAATTATAATTTGAAAAAAAGGAAAAAAAATAAAAAATTATGACAAATTGATGTATGCTGATGTTGGCCAATTCTTTTATTTATTCATAAATATAAAATAAATATGGAAAATGTTAACAAATATAAGGTTTTTCCATTATATGGCAAAATGAAGAAAAAAATGGAGAATTGTCTGTTTCATCATTAATAATGACAAAATATCAATAATTTATTTATTTCTAAAACAAGACAAATGATTACTTTTTTAAAATATATTTCTTATACTCAAAATTAGGAATAATCCATTATTTCAAAACTATCCACAATTATCCACAAAACCATTAAATCTACAAAATCAGTGATTTAAATTTTAAAAAATGTCTTTAAAGAATAAAAGTATATACTTTTTATAAATATTTTTCTAATATAGTAATCATCATGCATTTATTAAAACAACCAAAATAAGAAGAAAAAAAAACCAATATTTTCATACTAAATTTTTATAATATTGTGATAATATTGCGATTAATATATATTTAATATCATTTAAAATTCACAATATTCTTAATAGTACAGTAGATCGGGTTGAGTTGTAAACCTTATTTTACAGTCAATAGTCGCAGCACCAGGAACTTTCAAGGATATCTGATTACGGCTTTCGCGCTACTCAATCCTTTGTTTTGTTCGAGATGAGCTTATTTTAATAAAAATTAAAAAAAAATATTAAACATAAAATTAATTATTGAGTATAAACTATAATTTATAAAGTAGGGGAAGAGATTAAAATATTGGATAGAATAATAAAAGAAGGAAAAAGACATCACAAGCCTCGCCCCCACCCATCTACATCATATGCTTTTTATTTTTCCCTAATTATTATTATTTTTTGTTTATTTATTTATTTATTTATTTATTTTAAGTAAGAAATGGATCGCTCCTAAATCCTAATCCAAAAGAATATCCTCGGTAGCGTAGCGCTCACTCAAACACATAATATCACACCATTCACGAACTGCCACGTGTTCCACTGTTTCTCTCTCCTCGTTTCCTCCGGATTTGTCTCACTAAGCACGTGCCTTCCGCGAGGGAAATAAATAATTAATTGATTAAATAAAAAAAGAAGAGAAAAGAAAAAAAGAAAAGTCTTCGTCTTCTATCTCTCTCTCTCTCTCTCTCTTTCCCGACCTTTCATCCCTGTAAATTACCTAAAGCCCAACCTCCAAAATGTTCCTATTGTATTCTCTCTCTCTCTCTTCGAGAGAGATAGGTCTTCTTCTTCTTCTTCTGGTCTTCACTTGTGGCCGGAATTTGTAACGCTGTTTGATTCCTGTAATGCTGTTGTTTTTCTTCTAGTGAATCTTGGGTTTCAGTTTGAGATAACCCTAGAATAGAAGCTACCGTGTTTGTGAATTGTTTTGTTTCTGGAGGAGGGGGTGGAGGTTGAGGATTATGACTACAGCGTTGTTTTTTGTTGTTTGGTTGTAGTTTATCGGCTTCTTCGTCTAGCTTCTGCTCTTCTGCTGCTTGTTTGTGTGTGTGTGTGTGTGAGTTTTCCATTTTGGTTTGTATGGTTTGTCCATCTCTGTGTTTCTTCGAGGCTGTATGATTCTTTCTTATGCCATGGAACAACCTGATGCCAAGGATTTGAGGGACTCTGCGGGGAATTCCTCTGGTGAGCTCATTGTTTCTGCTTCGAGATTTGTTTCGGTTTGTTGTTGTTTTTTTTGTTCGTGGATATATGGAATTGTTTTGTCACTTTTGCGATCGAGTTCTTCTGGAGTTTGTTTGGATGTGCTGACTAGTCGGTGGGCGAAGGATTTTGTTTTTGGTGTGATATAGAGAGCTGTAACGTTGTGTAGGTAGTTTGGGACCTTGGGTTGGATGGTTTTTTTAGTTTTTTTTTTTTTTTAATTATTCGTGGTTACCTTTTGTGGTTGATTACTTGTAGTTTAATTATGTTTTGCTTTCATTTCCATCTGCTTTTGTTGAAGTTTTTCTTTGTGCTGAAGCTGTTCTTGTAACTTTTCTGCAAGTATGCTTGCATTTGAATGTTTAATGGCATCGATTGTTACGTATTGTTGCCTTCAAATCGGTCGTTTTTGTGGTGGTATAATCCGTTAAATCTGACTTGTGGCCAAGGGGAGGTTAAATCTCACAATGACAGAAGGCTACCAGAGACCTTCATTACTTGATGATTTGTTGTCCAATTTTTGTAGTAAAGTTTTGCATTCCTGTTTTATTCTTTATTCGTAATTTGTGAATTGCTAGTTCGACTGGGTTTCTTCCATGTTATAGGACGTTTTGGCTGAAAGTGACTTGAAACTTTTGGGGATGGGATTATTGTTGTTAGCTATTAATATCTTTTAAATGGTATGCTCTAGCCTTTAATTCCCATAGCTTTTTTTCTTTACTCTGGTTTTTAGTTTCACTGTTATTAAATCTTGTTACTCAGCTGCTGGGTCTTAGTTCCCTCAGTTTGTATTTTCTTATTCTCGTCAAGAATCTCTGTTTGCTATAAAACTGAACTATCTACTGGGTTGTTTTGAGACGTATGCATGGAGGTGGAAAATTTCAGTTGGAATAAATTTAATGGCCCTCAGTTTTTGGCTTTTTTCCCCCTCTACCTTATTTTGTAAACGATTGACTGATAATCTTAGTTTTATCTATGCAGCTAATACACTCTTTGATGCTTCACGATATGAGTTTTTTGGTCAAAATGTCGTGGGAGAAGTGGAGCTGGGAGGTTTAGAAGAAGATGAAGACGTTCCTTTATTTGGATCTACAGATGAAGAGTATCGTCTATTTGTTCGGGAAGAGGTAGGTTTCATTTCACTGTTATGTTTCTTCAATTCTATTTTTTTTGCCTGATGGAAAGATATTAGGTCAGGTTTTCATTTTTGTCATCTGGGACTTGAGTTTTAAGATCGCATGCTATTGCAGAGTGTGAGTTATAATAGTTAACTTATTTCTTGGGTAGATTCTCATCTCTACACTAATTAAGGCTTTTGATTTATTGAATAGGGTCCTCAGTTCGCAGTAACTAACTTATAAAAGGTGTCAATGAGCCAGTGGTCTCTAAGAAATTATCAGTTAATCATAACAACTAACTCCTTGTGTTGCTTTGCCCGTTAGTTTTTGCTTAGCAGCTACTTTCTATTGATTTCAATCGTTTGCATTTTGAAATCTTGTTTGGGCTGTGGTGGAAAGTCGATACTTTTAGGGTAAGCCCTACCCCTAATCTTACTTCTGGTGCAACGTTGAAGGAGATTTTAGCTGTCCCAATTGTTCTAGGTCTAATGAAGGACCTTATGGCTAGTTGAAATTATGTCCATCATTTTGTATGTCCTTGTACATTCTTTCATTTTTCTCAATGAAGGCTCGGTTTCTTAATGAAAAAAGCATGTGTATTGTATAGGGAATTTCGGTTGGGAGAAATGGATGGTTTTTAAAATATAGCTATCATTATCTATCCTGGTAAAGTTGGGTATTGATTATGAAGAATATACGTCAGATGCCAAATATCTGGCTATATCCCCAATACACTAAGTACTTCCTATTATTATTATTACACAAAATACCCTTCAACTTCTCTCATCAAATTTCATGAAGGATGGCTTTTGACCTGATGAAAGAGGTACTAGTTGCAGGTGGAAACTGACTTCAAAGAAGCTTTATAATCTGTTAAGATAATAAGAAGGGTACTGTCCAGAAACCTTTTTGATGCAGGATCATAAGGAAATCATATTTGGATTTGACATCAAACCATTCCAGCCTCTCTTGTTTCCCACTCCCGAAAGAAACTTGATGTCCCTGCAGTTTCATAAAAAAAGGTTGTGAGTTTCTAAAAAAAATAATAAAAAAAAATGTTTTGATGCTAGCTAGAGTTGATTGAGCCATGTTGGACCTGTTTCCCACAGACAAGGTGAAATTCCCATTTTCTTCAGATTACTGATCGTCCTCTTCAACCCCAGAATTTTAGTATCTAGTACTGCTTGGAATTCTCCAAGGCGTGGTATTCAAGAGCCAGTCCTCTACTACACCCAAAGTTTTCTGTTTTAACTTTGCTTTCTTTTATACACATTGATACCTTCAATTCCTGACATATTTACACGTATATACAGCATCGCCATTTCTCTGAGTGCTTGTGAGTGAAGATTTAAATAGTTTTTGGCTAGAAACAACTGGAAGAACGTTTTTCCAATTTGAGGTGCTAAAAGAATTTCAAAAAATTATTGTTGATAGGCAAGCAGTCTTTAAATATTTATAGTTCTCTTTTATTGGCGAACAACTTTTTCCGACTCATTGGTGCCAAAAGTACAAAATTTAGACACATCTGTCTTAATACTAAAAGTTATATATACTTTCTCGGGGTATTTGGATTGAGAGAAATAATAGGATAGATAGATGGAGCGATTGTGTGAGGAGGTCTTGGGAGGGGGCTAGGTTTAATACCTCCCACAGGCAACACTTTTTAGACTTTTTCGTAATTGTGATATTGGTTTGATTTTGGGATTGGGTCCCTTTCAGTGGTTAGTCCTTGGGTTCCCTTATGATTATTTTATTTTATTATTTTAATATATTTTTTTTTGTCTTCCTTATCTTTCTTTCATTTTTGTCGATGAAAGTTTGTTTCTTATTCGTTTCTTTAATTTCATTTTACTGCTTATGAACGAAGATTTGGAAGGTTTTGGGGTTCTTGTAGGCTCGGGCAATATGTCATAGCCTGTTTATCCAGCCGAATCTAGTGAATTTTCTTTTTCATGCTTTCCTTGGATTTAAAATAGTTCTTGTGGTTAAATGCGCATATGCAAATTTAACACAATAAGATTTTGGGCTTCTATTTGGACCTGTCATGCAGGTTTTTTATTATCCTGATAATTAGTGATTCAAAATCTATAGCAGACGTTTTAACATGCAGTTTCTCTTCTTTAGTTGGACTACTTGTTCTTCATCACAAGTATAAACCTCCTCTTACCTTTATGTATCAATGTTTGCACCCTTTGCACCACTTTGTGCACGGATAATACTTTTTTTAGGATTTTAAACGGGTATCATGTGTGATGTTGCTTTCCATGCGACTGGGATAACTATTATTTTCTTTCATCTTCTTCTCTCAACTGTGCCTGTGCCTGATATGATGACATGGTTAAAGTTTATATTTTGAAATTCATCGACTAAATACTATATTTGGTTCCTTGTGAACACTTTTTGGAACAGGCTTTATCCTTTATGCTGATTACATATCTAAGTACCACTATTGAATGTCGAACGTTAGATGTTGACCATTTCTAACGTTTATTATTCCTGTTTTTGTTTTTCTTGTTCTTTTTACTTTTTTTGGTTTTGAATATGCAAAGTAAAATACATATATATTTAAAAATGCATGTGGAAGATATGGGTATCAGAATTAATTTTATTTTTTATTTTTTCCTTTTCAGAGTGCAGGGTTGGGATCTTTATCGGAAATGGATGATTTGACAAGTACTTTTGCGAAGGTATGCCTCCATTGTCAATTATTCGTATAAATGTGAAATTAATCTCTTGAAATTTTTTGTTGCTGTGATCTATTGATACATTTTTTTTGGTTGAATTAAATATCCAATTGCTTTTAATTGAGAAAAAAGTCCAGATGATATGCAACAGGTCTCTTTTCCCAAAATAATGATGCAACAGACGTGATTTCATTTTTGTTTATTACTTTGCTAAAAGATTTATACCAACTACCTACCATCATGATAGCAGTTGCTTTGGTTACAGGATAGTTACAACTACTCTACTAACAGAAAATATATTAACCCATAGAATACTATACGAGCCTATACGTACATCAATTAAAATTTATCAAGAAGATAATAGTTTAATGTACGCACATCTGATGCTCATGCATTACAGACAATAAACTAACTTGCTTTATAGAAGAAACTAACTTTTTTTAAAAAGTGTTTCTTGTTTATGTACTGGTTTATAGCAACGGCAGTCTTGATCTGAATATTTCTTTAGTTTTGATTCTCCCTAGAAAAAAAAAAAAGTTTTTAGTTTCTTATTGGAGAAAAAAAAAAAAAAAACAAAATCTCACTCATAGTGATGCACTTTCATTGCCCTTGTTTTTTATTAGAATCTAATGTGTTGGCCCCTCTGCATTCTATCCTGAGTTTATGTTATATTTTGGAGTTGGTGTTTTAGGTTGTTTGGGATTGCTGTGGTGCGTAATAGGGACTGTTGGTCTCTGATTGAGGAGATTGTGATGAATTTGCCCTTCCCTGATAAGGGGAATGTTTGGTGGCTAGCTTGTTGGTTTGCTATCGTGTGGGAAATGTGGATTGAGAAGAACAATAGATTTTTTAGAGAGTGGTGAGGTCTTTAGAAGAGGTTTGAGAAGGGGTGAGGTTTAAAGCCTCTGTGCGGGCATCCCCTTTTCGGTTTTTTTTTTTTTTTTGAAATTACAAACTTAGTTATTCTTTTGGATTGGAGTTCATTCTTATAGGTTGTTGAGAGCTGTTTTGCAGGCTTGTTTTTTTTTTTTTTT